TCTTCAGAAAATGCTGCATAAAAATCTGGTGTGCCGTTCTGGCCATTAAGTGAAATTACTATTTAAATTAATGGCGCTGTCACAGTTTATCTGTGCAAAGAATGAACGCTGATTAGGGTATTAAGTAATTAGCAATTTATCACGCTGGAACAAGGTTGATAATAATTAAAGAAGTAATGGTTTACCAAAGAAACTAGAAAGGGAGTCACTTCTTGTTATATGAGTGAAATCTTGGCTAAAAATATTATTCAGTGAAACAAAGATGAGATTCTTTGTGATAGAATGTAGCTTTCTCTTTCTGTCCTAGCATAAAAGCAATTCATTAGCCAAAGTTTACTTTGCCTGTCCAAAGGGCTTCTAAACTAAAATGCTCTCATTTGTTATTTAAGAAGAAATCACTGTACGATGTAATCACATATTTTGGAGGAGGATAGCTGACTTATTAATGTCATACTTATTAGACTGCTCAGGACTGCAGTCCTAACTTAAATATGAGCCAGCAGTGTGCTGCAGCTGCCAAAAAAACCAACACAGTGCTAGGCTGCATTAACAGAGGGATAGAATCAAGATCATGTGAAGTGTTAATACCATTTTACAATGCCTTGGTAAGGCCACACTTGGAATACTGCATCCAGTTTTGGTCACCACGATGTAAAAAAGATGTTGAGACTGTAGAAAGAGTACAGAGAAGAGCAACAAAGATGATTAGGGGACTGGAGCCTAAAACATATAAGGAACGGTTGCTGGAATTGGGTATGTCTAGTTTAATAAAAAGAAAGACTAGGGGTGACATGATAGCAGTATTCCAATATCTCAGGGGTTGCCACAAAGAAGAAGGAGGTCAAGCTATTCTCCAAAGCACCTGAAGGCAGGACAAGAAGCAATAGATGAACACTAATCAAGGAGAGAAGCAACCTAGAACTAAGGAGAAATTTCCTGACAGTTAGAATAATTAACAGTGGAACAACCTGCCTCCAGAAACTGTGAATGCTCTAACACTGGAAGTTTTTAAGAAGAGACTGGATAGCCATTTGTCTGAAATGATATAGGGTTTCCTGCCTGAGCAAGGGGTTGGACTATATGATCTCTGATGTCCATTCCAACATTATTATTATTGTTGTTGTTATTGTTGTTGTTATTATTTATCATCATCATTATCATTATCATCATGTGAACCAGTGCTAGGCACATAAACACTATACTTGTGCTCAGTGCTAAAAAAAAAAAGGTGCCAGAACTCACACATGTCACACAACCCGCCTTGTCTACCCTACAAGATTCCATCCCAAAAAGGTGCCGGAACTCCGTTCTGGGCGTTCTATGACAAAAAAAGCCCTGCTTGTGCTATGGGCTCTGGATTGGCTGCTGATATGTTTACTGATGCAATATCAGTGGTACTTTTAATCTATAAAGCTCCATACAGCTTGCTGCCAAAGTATCTCCAGGACTACCTCTTTCAAGTGGAAACCAACACTGTCTTTTATAAAAAAAAAAACCTGGGAAAAATAATACCATAAAATCAGGAGGCCAAGGCAAAGTGCAATTTCTTCTCTGTTATGGCCGAATGTTGTGGAATAGTCTTCCACTAATTCTAACCTATCTCATTCGTCTTCTGGGATTTATATTTATTTTATATACTGTAAATGCATTTATATTTATGTTTTGCCATCTCTCTGTAGTTAAATCATGGCTCCCTTGTTTCCACATTCCACCCTTTCTGTTCATCAAACCCATAAATGACAACTACATTTTTTCTGTGTTCAACAAAACATCCATAAAACTTTCCAGCCATTAACAAATGTAGTTATTGTCTTTTCACTAATCAAGGAAGCCAATGTTGTCATCTTTACCAACCATTCCTTCATTGAGGGTATTTAAGAATTTTTCCATCTTCCATTAATCTCACCGTAGTGATCATGAACAAAAGCATCATCTATAGGTTTTTTCCAGTTGCCTATTCATTAGTCACAAAAAAAATCTGATTTCAGTTGAATATTAATATTTAAAATTCTTTGTTATCACGGCATCATATGTTTAACCCCATAAGCCAGTTTGGTCTAGTGGTTAAGGCACCAGACTTAAAACTGGGAGAACATGAGTTCTAGTCCTGCCTTAGCCATGCAAGCCAGCTGGGTGACCTTAACCCAGTCACCCTCTTTCAGCCCAATTCACCTCTGAGGTGAGTTGATTTTGTGCGTATAATAGGTGGAGAAAGATGTATTGGGTATGTTTGCCCCCTTGAATTATTTGTAAAACTAATAAAGGCAGGATAAAAAAAAATCTTGTATAGTCCTTTGTTGATAGTAGAAATAAAATAAGTTGAAATCAAAGACATTCAGAGAACAAATTGCCTACTGCTGTCCCAAAGGTGCTTTTTCCAAAAGACAATTGGACTTTGTTTTTCCTTGAAGACATTTTGTTTCTCGTCCAAGAAGCTTCTTCAAATGTCTTCACGGAAAAACAAAGTCCAGTTGCCTTTTGAAAAAAGCACCTTTAGGACAATCATGACCTGAATGACTGAGAATCTCCATACTGTATACATTTGCCTACTGCTGTATAATTAGAATGGAAAAATGAATGGGGATCATTCATAAATTACCCCTTCAGGTTTAATAATATGGATTTCTTGTAAATAAATCAATGTCTGATAGTATATAAGATTAAACTGTCTTGCTTTAAAAGTTTGGTTCCACTATGATATGATATCATTTACATGCATTTGAATTTAACTAATCCCATGAATGACATCACTTTCTTGATTGTTAATCATTAGGTTTATTATATCACATAATGTCTCCTCGGCTAAGGTGGATTTTTATATCTAATTATTTTTAAAGGAAACTCTTGTTGCAAGAAATGCTGATTGAATCTTTGTATGAGAAAGATCTTGTTTACAGTATCTTAAAAAAATTGTTTGCACTTTGTATTTTTGATCTACTCCCATTTATATAGGATGATTCCTTCCTTTAGAATTACTGGAATGTTTACCAACCTAACATGTAAAGGAGCATGGATGGTTCATCATGTTGAAAAATTATTTTGGGCAACAAGAAGCAACCTGCACAGCTGCCTGTTTGATCACTGCATCAATAGGCGGAAGGCAATTTTATTGAAGGAATGTGGTTTATGAGAGAATGAAGATGCTTTTCAGAAGCATATATAGCAAAATTAAATGTCCTACTTTCCACAATAAAAAAGCAATGAAGAATAATTTTAATGTTTTTTCTTTTTAAAAAATGGCAGGTTTCTCTCTCTTGTTGTCATTCTTGCTGGTGTGGTAATCCTTAGACTATCAAACCTATCTGATGATAGATTCCTATTTACACAATTATTTATTTTGTGCTAGCAATTCCTATGGATTTTATTATGCATGTTTTTTAAAAGTACATGGAGGAGCAGCAATAATTAGGCATGGAACCTAAAAGCAATTGTAAATTATTGCCACAATAATTTGGCAGGTGGCATCATCCCAATGAGCCTCTGATGTTAATAAAGACCCAGATACATCAGAGGCTTCTTTGTGCCACTAGCTCTTCTTATTAAGAAAAAGTGCATACAATATTGGTACAGATGAGATCTTTTTTTCAAACAGAGGTTTAAGACTGTAGAAACTGCCTTATTCCAAGTAAAATGGTTGATTTGGCTAACTCAGTATGGTTTATTGGGATTCGCAACAGCTCTCTCCGCTTGAGAAGAATAGCTATGGTTACCCAATGTTTACTTTGTTTGCTAATGGAGATACTCATGACAGAGCTTCAAAACTTCTGTATGGATTGAAGAACTGAACTTCGATCTACTCAATTGGGTGGCTTGATCTTAGTTATTCTCCTTCCAGACTGCCTCTCTATCTCTATGCTTGGAAGTTATAGCTCTCCTAAAATTAGATTTTGTAGATATTAGATCACAATAATATCAAGGACTAATGACAGATCAAACACATTAATCAGATTTAGTTTACAAAGTGTCCATATATTGCCCTTAAATCCAAGCATGCTATTCTATATACACTTGGCCACTTTAGAAAATGTAATATTCCTTCTGAGAGATATAGAACACTTGTGTACTTTGCAGCACTGTATAGTGTTCTGATCAATGCTTAATATCACTGAAGATATAGATTGTGAATGTGGCCTATTTTTGTGTCTATTTTACTCCTACAACACAGGAGTTAGCTTCCACAAGGAAGAATTTAAGAATAGGACACTAATACCAATTTAAATTATGTTTCATATCCATTTATGTATTTTTGGATCCCATTCTCAATCTCTGACATATTAGTATAGAATGACAACTATAACAAAGCAGTACTTTAAAGAAAATGCATAAATCACAGTATTGTAAAATATTGTGGCTTGAATATAATAGTGTCCGTTCAGCAGAGGAAAGACTTTTGAACTAGTGGAACCCTGCCTCCAATGGATTTTCCAGATCCCTTTTGCAATGTTGAAGGACCATTTGGAGATGAGAAAGAGGAGATACCTCATTTTTTTTAAAGGAAATAACAAAATTCTAACACTTTTTCCTTCAGGAGAAATGAACTGGAAAAGAAACCAAAATAGACTAGAACTCTGAAGTACTAATGTATAGATATTACGAAAATCTGCCCATTCCTAAAAACCAAATCTATTTTGCATTTTATATGATTTAGAAAACCTGTCTTTCACTGATTCGTTTGTCAACAAAACTGGTTTTGTTCTGTTTTTTGATAAGCAACCTAACTTTTTAAATAAAAAAATTAAATGAACATGGAATGTGGGACATATAAACTGCAAATAGTTACTCTCAGCAACCTACAGAAAAAAAAATAGATTGCTTTGTGCCAGTTTTTCAGAATTAGTCACTAAACAAAGGCCTGTCAGACATTTAAAACTTTAGTTGCCTTTCCTCAGGTTCAATAGCTGCATCATACTGGTGATTTTATGATGAATTTTATAGCATTCTTGGAATTTCCTTCACTTTCTCCTCTTCTTGCCTTCATGTATAATATTTTCTTGTTTCAGGAATGTTCTGTTGCAGACATGAATATTTGAATATGTCAAGTATCGTATGCTGCTCAGCTTTCAATGGTGAAGCTAAAGCCCACATTAAAAAGAATAGCTCAGTGCCATTAAAATGCCGTGTGACTGAACTTATTCCAGAGAGCGAAGAATGTTGTAATGGACTTGGATATAATCCCTTGAAATATGTTTGCACTGACAGGATTTCATCTGGAATGATGATGAAGGTAATTGATAGAAAACCTCTTGGTGGTTCTGATTTGACAATGGGAAGAGAAATACATTGTTCATAACTATTTTTGTAAAATAGGAATATAAAAACTCCTCTGTGCATTATTCATTTTCACATTACATCCATATTAATACCAAATGAGTTTGCCATGATTGATGTTATTGCAGTGAATTCTAAAGGAATTAATAATGATTAGCTGCTTCTTGTAAAGTGTTGTTCAGCACTTCAGATTAGTATGAAGGCTAAAAGTTAACATTCTGGCCTGGCTGGAAAATGTGCATGTGTATATACAGTAATGTTCAAATGCATGGCTGTTTCATATAGCCAGTGATTTGGGCATTCTTAAAGTTTGCATTGGGTTTGCATTGGCAGTAAACATATACGGTACCCATATATGAGGGGGTGGGAATTCCAAAATTTGTCATTTTAACACTATGGCCATATGAGCACAAGTACAAAGAAATTTTAAGCAGTCCAAACTATCACATGCTAAAACAAAAATAATTATTAAAATAAAACATCTGTAAAGTCATGTCCAACTCTAGGGGGTGCTGCTCATCTCCATTTCCTAGCCAAGGGGAGATAGCATTGCCTGGAGACACTTCCATGGTCATGTGACCAGCGTGACTATATGCTGAAGTGTACGGAACGCTGTTACCTTCCCACCAAAGTGGTACCTATTTGTCTACTTGCATTTGCTTGCTTTCAAGGTGGACAGAACCTGGGGCAAATAATGGGAGCTCACCCTGTGATGCAGCACTCGAGTCCTGAACCCAGGCTGTCAGCTTTCCAACTGATAAGCTCAGTGTCTTTACCCACTGAGCTATGAAATACATATTAAAAATCAGTAAGTCAGTAAAGTGTAATGAAGTTAGAAGGTTTCAGATGGTTTCTGTAAGATCCAATAAACTGACTGGGGATGAAAGTTTGATACAGTAAGATGGATGCCAGGCAGAACTTTCTAGAGAAGGGATTCCAAAACTGGGAAGTGATTCATAAAAATGACAATCTGTAAGTAGACACCTACTGAATTATAGCATTTGGGAGATTTTCTCTTTGCTTCCTGTCTCAAAAATGGTAAATATTAATTAAAACATAAAAAGATTGAAAATGTGAGCCTTTTAAAAAAAATGTGAGTAAAACTAAAAAAAATGATATAAGCAAAATATAATAAGATGGGATATTGGTATTTCGTGAAAGCTACCATTATAAGAGGTTGTAAATGTGTATCAGAAAATTGTCTGTGCATGTCTATTTAAGTTGTTTTTGAAGGTTTTCAAAGGTTTGGGAACTATTGTTATAGATAAAAGAAGAATCGAAATGCATCCCACTGTGTTCTATATCTACTGAAGCAGTGACATACTGTGGACGGTGTAACTTTGACGAGCATACTTGTTTATGTGCTTGGATAAAGAGTTCCCGTAGTTATACAAAAAATAAAGAAAATAAAAGCATATGCCCATTTTTGGGGGAGAAGATTTATACAGGAGGCCCAACTCAATATTCATTCAAAGGTAAAATAATATGTGACGACTCATTAACTAAAAGTTGTAAATTCTGTGATCAATTTAGTAAAGTATCATGTGGCCTCTTTGGAAATTGTTTTGAAATGAATAAAATATTTTTATCAGCAGACTGATAGATATCAATACAAAGCTGGTTATGATTTGTTATAAATATATATTGTAAATGTAGGAGCCCAACTGAATCAAACTAAGAGTTCACGAAACGGGACTGGAGGCTAAAACATATAAGGAACGGTTGCTGGAATTGGGTATGTCTAGTTTAATGAAGAGAAGAACGAGGGGGGACATGATAGCAGTGTTCCAATATCTCAGGGGCTGCCACAAAGAAGAGGGAGTCAAGCTATTCTCCAAAGCGCCTGAAGGCAGGACAAGAAGCAACGGGTGAAAACTAACCAAAGAGAGAAGCAACCTAGAACCAAGGAGAAACTTCCTGACAGTTAGAACAATTAACCAGTGGAACAATCTGCCTCCAGAAGCGGTGAATGCACCAACACTGAAAGTTTTTAAGAAGAAACTGGACAGCCATTTTTCCAAAATGGTATAGGGTTTCCTGCCTGAGCAGGGGGTTGGACTAGATGACCTCCAAGGTCCCTTCCAACTTTATCATTATTATTATTATTATTGTTAGCTTTGTGCTTGGCAAAGGGATCACCAAAAAGCCATCACTCCTGTCTCCATAACAAGCAGTCTTCTGAACCAGGAGGTCACCTACACCCACCATAATTACTACAAGTGATTACTAAAATTATATAAACTGTTTAAAAGAGATGATTTGCAATGCACAGGAGTGCATATATATCTTTTTGAACCATTAAAGCAGCTATTTCTTTTTCTAAACACACATTCTGAAAACATATGTATAATCTTTGTTTCCATGCTGTTTCCATAATGTTATTACCCCCTCCCCTTGAAATCTATCAGAGCTAGTGGTCACCGACACATTTTATGACTGCAAATTCATCCCACAACTATGTGCTTTGAGATGAATTTATCCAAATCTCACATCCTTTTGTGAGATTAGATATTTTAGAAGTTGAAGTTAATGTATTTAAATTGTCATGATTATTGCTTCAATTACTTCAAAACATGGCAAAACAACCCTGTTGCATTGGCAGCTTCTTCTCATTTCCCTATTTCATGCTCTGGACTTTCACCTCAAAGTCATCCACTAAAAGCATAAGTTTCACTAAATAATTTCACTTTCTACTATTTTACAAGAAAGAGAGAGAAAAATCAATTTCCTTTATTCCATGTATGTGTAATGACATTTTGATTTATGCACCGTTCTTCTAAAGTGCAAAGTTTATGGAATAAGGAGATGGGTTCACAAATCTGAAATTTAACCAGATTGAATAAGATGTAACTAAATAGAAGTCCAGTATATTTAGCATATAGGTTGACAGTCAGTAATCTCTTGTTAAACATTTTCCTTGTAGATAAGAATCTAGAACCTCATGTTACGTATGAATATAGGCTAGCTGCGTGGAACAAACATGGGAAAGATTTTAGTGAAATGAATAGTGCAACCACTAAACAAGATGTCCCTGAATGTGTAAGTCCACCTCATTGGACAAAAGTGGATAATCGTGAAGACATAATATTTCTAACATGGAAGGAACCTTGTCAACCAAATGGTATAGTATTTTGGCAAACTACAATGTCTGATTTAGCATTTACCCAGTACAAGGTGCTGGGTAAATGCTGCGCGAGCTGCACTGGTTGCCGGCGCGAGCTGCACTGGTTGC